GGGTTATTTTCCCTTTGCAACTTGCAATTGTCAGGCACGCAACTCTGCCGGGTATTGACGTGGTCTGGAGCTAAAGATAGTCGCCATGTTTTTTTTTCCTTTCTTTTATGGGACTGTCTTCTGCTGACGAATTACGATAAGAATGTTGATAAATGGTTGTAATAAAGACAAGGGGAAGAGGGCTGAAAAACGGTGTGGGACTCAGAATAAATTTGGGAAAGAGAGGAAGAAGGAAAAGAAACAGTATGTGGAAAAGATAGGGAAAGAGGGACAAAGACACGCATACACACACACTCACACACACTCTCCATACGCAAATGGGAGAGGGGTACATATAGACAAAGACACGCAAGTACGCACACACACACACACACACATATATATGTATATTTGTATATACATATATATCTATATCTATATCTATCTATCTATATATTTGTATATAATATATATATATATGTATATATATATATACATATATATATATATATATATATATATATATATATATATATATATATATATACATATACACACACACACACACGTATATACACACATATACAAGTTAACAGAAGGATAAAGAGGAAACTTTTTCCATCTTGCCTTCAAGCCTTTCCTTATCCTCTCCCAATCTCAACACCTCGTTGCATAATGCGATACTTGGGCCATATTGGGGGGTGAAGGGGGGTAGTTAGAGGGTGGGGGGTGGCTACACACAATCGTGTGTTTTGTAATTCAATGTGTGAGTGGGCGGCGAAGAAAAATAATCATCAAGGGAATAGGATGGCGAAAGGAATGTCAAAACAAAAATAGTTTGAAATTAAACAGAAAGAGAAAGAATGAGAGAGAGAGGGAGAGAGAGAGAGGGGAAGCGAGGGAGGGAGGGAAGGAGAAGAAGGGGTAGGAGAGAGCAGAAAAGGTGAGACAATAAGAGAAAGAGAGAGAAGAGAGAAAAGCTATATATATATCATATATACTACATATATTATATATATGATATATATATTATATAATATGTATATATATATAATATATATATATATATATATATATATATATATATATATATATATATATATATATATATATATAAATATATATATATATAATATATATATATATATATATATATATATATATATATATATAAATATATAGATAGATAGATAGAGAGAGAGAGAGAACAAGATAAAACAAAAGTGAAATAGAAACGACAGAACGAGAGAGAAAGCATAAGTAAAGAAAATGCAAAGCCAAATACAAAGAAAAAAGAGGAAGTTTACGTATAAACAAACCACTTATACGAATAAATAAACTCAACTCAAGGTGGGTCGTGACTCTCACTGGAGACTTACTGACTGCTGCGAGAGACTGTCCGAGATTCTCTGCCTGTCTGTCTCGCTACCTTGAGGCCTCTGAAGCGGAAACAGATAATGCCAAAAGCGAGACGAAGGTAGAAAAAAACGTACAATTCTTTACAAGGTAGGGGGGAGGGGGAAATAATCTGGTTAAAATACGTCAAGAATACGATAAACGAAAAACAAATAAGATTAAAAATAGAAGAAAAAAAAACACAAAAAACAGAACATCTGATAACGTAGAAATTAGGAATAAACTCAAGCCAGGAGGTGTCGGCCATTATGACACCTTAACGATGGTTTTCAAATTTCGCGAAAAGAAGCGACGTAAGTAGACCAACGACTAAGATACTTAATCTTTTGTGTGCTTATCCGCCGCGTATTTGCACGTCTCGCAATTTGCATGCCGGGCACACAAGAGGCTGAAATTTAGCAAAGAGCTCTCAGTCATGGTCGGCTGGCTAAAATGTATTCAAAACGGCGCTTACTTGATAAAAAGAAAAAAAAAGGAGAGGGAGAGGGAGAAGGAGAGAGAGGGAGAGAGAGAGAGAGAGAGAGAGAGAGAGAGAGAGAGAATGGGAGGGGGGTAGAGGGAGAGAGGGAGAGCGAGAAAGAGAGAGAGAGAGAGAGAGAGAGAGAGAGAGAGAAGAGAGAGAGAGCAAAGAGAGAGAGAGAAGAGAGAGAGAGAGAGAGAGAGAGAGAGAGAGAGAGAGAGAGAGAGAGAGGGGGGGGGGGGGAGAGACTGAGAGAGAGAGAGAGAGAGAGAGAGAGAGAGAGAGAGAGAGAGAGAGATAGAGAGAGAGAGGGAGAGACATACAGACGGAGAAAGAGAGACAGAGAGAGAGGGAAAAAAAGGAGAGGGAGAGGGAGAAGGAGAGAGAGGGAGAGAGAGAGAGAGAGAGAGAGAGAGAGAGAGAGAATGGGGTGGGAGAGGGAGAGAGGGAGAGCGAGAAAGAGAGAGAGAGAGAGAGAGAGAGAGAGAGAGAGAGAGAGAGAGAGAGAGAGAGAGACGCAAAGAGAGAGAGAGAGAGACGCAAAAAAGAGAGAGAGAGATGCAAAGAGAGAGAGAGAGAGAGAGAGAGAGATGGGGGGGGAGAGAGACTGAGAGAGAGAGAGAGAGAGTGAGAAGAGAGAAGAGAGAGAGAGAGAGAGAGAGAGAGAGAGAGAGAGAGAGAGAGAGAGACAGAGAGGGAGAGCGATAAGGAGAGAGAGAGAGAGAGAGAGAGAGAGAGAGAGAGAGAGAGAGAGAGAGAGAGAATGGGGGGGGGAGGGAGAGAGGGAGAGCGAGAAAGAGAGAGAGAGAGAGAGAGAGAGAGAGAGAGAGAGACGCAAAGAGAGAGAGAGAGAGAGAGAGAGAGAGAGAGAGAGAGAGAGAGAGAGAGAGAGAGAGAGAGAGAGAGAGAGAGAGATGGGGGGGGGGGAGTGAAAGAGACCCAAAGAGAGAGAGAGAGAGAGAGAGACGACTCAAAAAGTAAAAGCATCTGTTAGCCCAGGGATCATACGTGTAAATTACTGCTTTGAGTTCACATGCATTCCAGGCTTCACTGCCTCGCTTTTTATCCCTTTAGCAAGTTAACAGAAGAGAAGCCGCCTATAATACGCACAACTTGCACTACTTGGTTCAGCCCCGGCTTGTTATTCAACTCAAAATTTGATTTTTTCTAGCTATAAAAGATGCTTGTCGTTACTGGCTTATAACATACCGTGGATGATGTTCATGTGTGCATTTCAAAGTGTACGATAGAGTGGGTAACAGAAGCAATCACCAGATACATCTTTAATTAGCTATTAAATGCGTAGGCCTATGAATATGTGGGGGAGTTGTGCGGGCGCGTGCGTGCGTGTGGATGTAAATGTGGATGTGTGCGTATTTATGTCATTATATATCATGTACCATGGTATATAATGATAATTCTACAGAACATGGCAATGGCAATAAAAAATAAACAAAAAATACTGATAAAATAAAAATGCCAACGTGTAAATAACCCTAAAAAAAAATCTAATAGCCCACAGCAGCAAAAAGGTATCCTCAGCGTACTGTTTTTGGGCCTCAACCGGTAAAGCTATATCAGGCCTACGTGACTCATCAAAAAGTATGTACTACAGGCGTTGCTTAGGCCTAAATCAGGTCCCGGAAATGATTAAGTGGAAGTTTAAAGGTAGGAGCTGGGGGGGGGGGAGGGTTGGTTGGGGAGATGGAGTGAGGGGAGGAGAAGGGGGTGGGGAGGAGGGGAAGGTGAGAGAGGAGGAGGAGGAGGAAGGGGAGGAGGAGGAAGAGGAGGAAGAAGAGGAGGAGAGAAGTGTAATAGTGAGAGAGAGAAAAGGGATGGAAGATAGGCAAGGAGAGGAGTGGAGAGGCAGGTGTGAAACATGAGGTGGCGAAGAGCAGAGAAAGAGGAGAAGGTAAGGGGAGGAGGGGGGTGATAAAGAAGAGACGAAGGGTGGGTGGGGGTGGGAGGAGGGGGGGGAGGAGAGGATGAGTAATGACCAAATACCGGACACGGAAGCCGGATATGAAGGAGAGGGCATGTGATCGCCGGCCTCAGGAGCGCCGGGTAAGGGCTGGGATTCAAGAAATAATGTGTTTTATATATATATATATATATATATATATATATATATATATACATATACCCACAAACATATGTATATATATAAATATATACATATATATATATATATATATATATATATATATATATATATATATACATATACCCACAAACATATGTGTATATATATAAATATATATATATATATATATATATATATATATATATATATATATATGCATATATATATATATATGCATATATACATATATATTAGTATATATGTATATGTATATGTATATATATATGGAGAGAGAGAGAGAGAGAGAGAGAGAGAGAGAGAGAGAGAGAGAGAGAGAGAGAGAGAGAGCGACTGGAACAGACAGAAAAAAAGACAAAGAGACAGCAAAGCAAGCCGCACCATTCCATAAAACCCTACCCCTCCTACCCCTTTACAACCACCCCTTCTACCTTCACCGATTACCCCAACCCTCAGGTGAAGCCGGAAGGCGCATCGCGCGGGCGACAGTGACGCTTCGGGAATTCACCTTCGACGCTTCCGCTCCGCTCGACGCTGGATCCGAAATCGATGGCGGATTCGGGTCGAAATCGGGCTGGTGAGGATTTCAGTGTCCGATTTCAAGAGCTTATTAACGAGCTGATGCATCTCTTTGGTAAATATGGGCGGAGGGGAGATGATTGCAAGATAGGGGGAGGGTAGGATGGGGGGGGGCAGAGGGAGGGAGGGATTGGAGGAGAAAGAGGAAGAGAGCGTGTGAGGTAGGGAAGAAGAGGAAGAAATTGGGAAGGAAGGAAGGGGGGAGGGAGTCAGAGAGAGAGAGAGAGAGAGAGAGAGAGAGAGAATAAAAAAAATTAAAACCCTGAATATCAAAAAATATATCAACCCAAGACAGACAAACAGACACCTAACAATATAATCCACCCCGCCAGCCCCAACAAATAACTTAAACTACCCAGAAATCACCTAATTAGTAACCAGCAACACACTCTTTCCAAGTACAGCGCCACGTCACGGAAATCGAGAATGAATCACCAACAAGAAGCGTCACAACTGTTACTTTACCTGCGATGACCGAAGACTTGCTTGAAGGCTGACGAGGTAAATTTTGGATTTCTTGGGTATGTGAAGATTTTTTGCTTTGAAATACTGTAGGTTTTATTGAAGGTTGCTTGCTCTTTATCGATTATTTTTGGTGTTATTATTATTTTTCAAAATATATATATTTGGAGGACTTTATTCTCTCTTTTCTTTGCTTTTTTACTTTTTCTCTATGCTTATTTTCTCATTATGTCTAACTTTCTTCACTTCATCACTGATTTATATTCTATTTCTCTCCTTTTTACACTCTTTACCCTGTTATCTCACTTCCCTTTTCCAATAACCACTTATCTTTTTTCACGATTTCCTCAATTCACACTTTTATTTCTTACTTTCACAAACACTTTTCACTTTTCACTTCCTCAGACAAATTAAAGAACACACTGCCGATGATTACACTTTTCTTGCTTCCGTAAACCTGGTGTAAATCTGTTGGAAAATAATGAAGATTAATGAATAAGATAATTTGATAAAGAAAGAAAGAAAGAAAAAAAAACAATGTGTATGAAGAAAGCAACAGGAATTTTTCTTTTCTTTTTCTTTTTGTAAAGAAGGGTTTAGAAGAGAAAGGAGAACGAGACGAGAAGGGAAGGAGCTAGAGACGAGGAAGAGGAAGGAGGGAGAGGACGAGGAGAGAAGAAGAGGAGAAGGAGGAAAAAGAGGAGAGGGAGGAGGAGGAGGAGGAGAGAAGGAGGTAGAAGAGGAGGAGGGGGAGAAGGAAACCGAGGAGGGGAGGAGGGAAAGGAAGAGGAAGAAGAGAAGAAACAGGAGGAATTAGGGTTTCAGTTGTATAATTTGTTCTTTTAAATCTTTTATGGCTTTCTTATTGTCTGTCTGTTTATAGTGCAGTCTGTCTTTCTTAGTTTGTCGGTCTCTCCCTCCCTTCCTTCTTTCTTTTCCTGTCTGTCTGTTTATCTATTAGTCGGTATGTCTCCCTGCTTATCTCTCCGCCTCTGTCTCTCCATTCCTTTGCTCCCCTCCCTCCTTCTCTGTCTCTCTCCCTCCCTTGCTTCCTTTCTCTCCTTCGCCCACCCTCTCTTCCTTTTTTCTCTTTCTCCTTCCCTTCCTCCTTCCTCCCCCTACATCCCTCCTTCCCTCTCTACCCTTCTTCCTTTTATACGTTCTCTTGTATTAAATTCACCCAAGTTTGTCTTATCTACCTTAATCTACTCTTGTTCTTTATATCCGATAATTTCTCCTTCACTCCACTCTAGAACCGGTTATGTGAAGTGGAAGCTTCTGGTGATTTTTTTTTCTTTTTCTTGGTTATTTCCCTCTTTATCATCATAATTTCATCGTCAGTCTTGTTCTTCTTTGATACTTTAATTTTCCTGTTTTCCTTTAATTTTCTTCTTTCGTCTTTTTTTTTTTTTACTTTCTTTTTATTCATCTTCTTATCCCCTTTTTTTCGTTTTTTTTTCTTTCTACTCCTCCTTCATCGATTCCATCATCTTCCTTATTCTCATCGCCCATTTCCTATTTTCCCCTTTAGTTCTTCTCTTCCTTTACCTTCTTTTTTCTTATTCCTTGTATTTCTCTCTCTTCATTTTCTTCTTCCTTCTCCTTCTTCTTTTCCCTTTCATAATTCCCCTTCTTCTACTTCTTCCTCTTCTTTTATTTTCCATTCGTATCTCATCCTCTAAGCCCAATGCCCTTAAAACAAATAACGAAAATAAACAACCCAGAAAATGCAAAACAAATACGAATAAATAAATATATATTTTGTCCCTAAAATACGAAAAACAAATATATATTCGTTATCCCTATTTGCCTTCTCTTAAAGAATAATATATATGGATTTTTACGATGACGGGAAGGATTATTTCTAGCAGCAATAACAAGAAATAATCGCCCCTATGTTGTTCGTGATATAAAATAGCCATTTGTTACGGGCGAAAGAAAGAGAAATGGAAAGGCCTGAATGAAAAAGGGTTTGGGAAAAGATAAGAAAGAAAACAAAATGGATAGAAAGAGAGAAAGAATAGGGAGGGTAAAAATCGGTGGTTTCTTTGTGTTATTCATTAATTTGTGATAAATTTTATTGTCATTCATTTTATTCACTTTTATTTTGTTTCAACTTGTTTCATTTTTGTTGTTATTTGCTGTAGAGCGTTTGTTGTCATTGTTCTCGCTGTTGTAATTATTTCTGTTGTTGTCAGTTCTATAGAAAACGTAAAATGATTGACAGGTGAAAAGCGTAAGGAAAAGAGAAGTGGATAATAAAGATGGCAGAAGGGGAATAGGAAGGTGAAGATGGAAGAAAGGGAGAAGAATAAAACAGGAAAGATAAAGAAGCAGATGTGAAATTGAGTAACATAATGACGAGGAAAGGGAAGAAGAAAGGGTAAAGCATGAAAAAATGCGAAGAACAAAGATGAAAACGATAAAGAAAGAACACATGCAAAAAGACAAGCAAATAAAAAATAAAACCTAAAACAAAGGTAAGTCAAAAAAAAAATTATAATTACATAAAAACAACAAACGCGCCAATAAAAGTATTTGAATAACCCCATCAAAATATAGACATCAAAGCTAACCTAATGACTCGATAACAAACAAGAATAAAGGAAATCTGGTCAATTAACGGTCATAGCAGTGAAAACAAATGACTGTCAACATGATACCATTTGCCTGGCCGGGTCTCTCTCTCTCTCTTTCTCTCTGACTCTCTCTCTCTCTCTCTCTCTCTCTTCTCTTTGTATGTCTCTCTCTCTGTCTGACTCTCTCTCTCTCTCTTCTCTTTGTCTGTCTCTCTCTGTCCCTCTTTCTCTCTCCTTTCTGTCTGTCTACATGTCTCTCTGTCTCTCTCTCTGGTCGTCGTTTTTTATTTCTATTTCTATTTCTTTGCCTGTACGTGTCTCCTTGTTTGTCTGTCTGATTGTGTCTCTCTCCCCCACCTCCTTCCCTAATTTTCTTTTTGTTTTGGGATCTATATGTGCCCCACCTCCGTCACTCTCTTTTTACTTTGTCTGTCTATCTCCCTCTGTCTAGTTGTCAGACTCGCATTCCGTCCCTGTCGCTCTTTCTCTCTTTGTATATCCTTCTATGTATTTCTGTCTCTCCGTCTATCCCCTTTCCCCTTTTTATCTTTATCTTTATTTCTCTCTCTGGCTCTCTACCTTTCTCCTTCCCTTCGCTGACCACTTCACCTTTCCTTTGCCTCCTTCTCTCACTCCAGCACTTCCGTCTATCGTATTCCCTCCTCTATTAACCCGTATCACTGCACATCAACCGGAAGTTGACCACATCCTGTCACCCCCACTACCACCCTCTCCCCCTCCCTTCCCTCCTCTCTCTCTTCCTTCCTGTTCATCCTTTTTCTCTTTTCTCTTTTCCCTTTTTTATTTTCTGTTTCATTTGATATTCATGTTTTCTTTTTACTTCATCTATTCCTCTCATTTCTATCGTATTTATTACTATTATCATCATTGTCAAAATGTCTAATTACTTACCGTCACCATTATTATCAGATCCTTATTATCATAATATAATAAATTATCATCTCTTTACTCCAATGCATTACACATAATTTTCCTTCCTTCTTTTCTTTCCCTTTCCCCCCTTTCCCTCTTTCCCTCTTCCTCTCCTCTTTCACTCTTACGAAAAAGCCTAATACATAACCTCAAATGACTCTAAACTTATCACAACTCTTAAACCGGTTTTCAGTGTGAAGTGACCGGGTCCATTTTCACCGTCTGTTTCCACGGTGAGGATGGAAGGAGAGGGACGAAAGAGGGGGAGGGGGAGAGAGGGGAAAGGAGAGGGGAGGGGGAGAGAGGGGAAAGGAGAGGGGAGGGTGGGGAGAGGGGAAAGGAGAGGGGAGGGGAGAGGGACGAAAGAAGGGGAGGGGAAGAGAGGGGAAAGGAGGGAGGAGGGGGGATGGGGAAAGGAGAGGGGAGGGGGAGGGAGGGGAAAGGAGAGGGGAGGGAGGATGGGGAAAGGAGAGGGGAGGGGGAGAGAGGGGAAAGGAGAAGGGAGGGGGAGAGAGGGGAAAGGAGAGGGAAGGGGGGATGGGGAAAGGAGAGGGGAGGAGGAGAGAGGGGAAAGGAGAGGGGAGGGGGAGGGGGAAAGGAGAGGGGAGGGGAGAGAGGGGAGGGGGAGAGAGGGGAAGAGAGGGGAAAGGGAGAGAAGGGAAAGGAGGGAGGAAGGGAGAATGGGGAAAGGAGAGGTGAGGCGGAGAGTGGAGAAAATACGGGAGGGGAGAGAGGGGAGAGAGGGAGATGGAAAGGAGAGATGGGGAGGGAAATGAGAGGGGAGCGTGGGGAAAGAAGGGTGTGGGGAGAGGGGGAGGGAGAGAGAAGGGAAAGGAGAGGGGAGGAAGAGTGGAGAAAGAAGGGAGGGAGGTGGATGGAGGAGGGTAGAAGGAAAGAAGGGGGGGGGGGAGGGAGGTGAAGGAAATGGGGGAAGGGGGAAGGGAGAGTGGGGAAAGGAGAGGGGAGGGAGGGAGAGGGGAAATGAGAGGGGAGGGAGAGAGAGGGGTGGATGGGGGAGGGTAGAAGGAAAGAGGGGGGGGGAGGGGAGAGGGCAGTGAAGGAAATAAGGGAAAGGGATAGATGGAAAGAGGTGGGAGAGGGGAAAAGGGGCAAAAGGAAAGGGAGAAGTGGAAGAAGGAAAATTAGAGACGCAAAACAAAATAGGGAAAAATCAGATAAAAGAAAACGAGAAATGAGAGGAAGAGGAGAGAAAGGGGGAGGGGAAGAGGAAAAGTAATGAAGAGGGAAAGGAAGACGAGCAGGGATAGGGACGGAGAAAAGAAGGAAAGAAAAAGGTGAAGACAGAGGAGGGATGAATGACAAAAATGGTAGAGGAGGTGGAGAAGAGGGAGAAGAGGATAAAACAGAGAATCCGTTATTGTTATCATGTATTTTACTTTTTTACTGCCATTATTACTACTTTGCCGTTACCCTTCTACATTTATTACAATTATTGTTGTTTTGTTGTTAGCATTATGGCCTGTTATGCATTATCGACTTATCATAAATATCAATTCCTGTTTCATGTTTCTCTCTCTATTCCCTCTCCATAACTCCCTCCACCCCCCCCCCTCTCCTCGCTTTCCCTCCCCTTCCCCCATCTTCTCCAGAGAGCAATTTCGGTTTCCTTTGTTATCCTTCCCTCTTTCCTTCCTCTTTATGGCGTTTCCTCTTCGTTATATCATCCTCTTTCTATCGTTTCCTGTTTTGTTTCTTTTTTATATTTCTGGACATTATTATCAAGATTCACTATTGCCATAAATGTTTTTTTCTCGCTCTCTCCTTTTTTTTCTCTCTCTCTCTCCTCCTCACCCTCTCTTTTGCTCCCTCCCTCCTCTCCTTTCTCTCTCTGTTTATCTATTTACCTCTGTCTGTCTATCTCTCCTTCCCCTACTTTTCTCTCACATTATCCCTATCTCCTCCCTTCATAACTTTGATCTAACTTCTCTATATAAATCGCCGCCCCCCCCCTCCCCCCTTCCCGGATGATTCTCTTTGGGAACTTCTAATTGGTTTTGCATTTCCTCGTCTGTGTCAAATTTCACCGCTCAACCCGATACTTGGGGTTACTCGGGGCGTGTGAGGATGTTTAAACACACACACATCATAACTGAGTCTGTCTGAGTGTAAGTCTGTGTTTGTGTCTATCTGTTTGTCGCTTTGCCTGGCTTTAAATTTGTATTCGTCAGAGTATTATGTATTTTTTTCTGCATATCTGTCTTATTGTTTTCTTTCTTTTTCTATTTCCCTATTTGTCTCTCTCTCTCTCTCTCTCTCTCTCTCTCTCTCTCTCTCTCTCTCTCTCTCTCTCTCTCTCTCTCTCTCTCTCTCTCCTGCTCTTCTTACCCTCCCAGGGGGGGGGGGGGTAAGGACACCACACACACACTCAAACGCACGGACATGCACACTCCCACACACAGATATCGACACCGGCGTTTTCGTGGCCGCATTTAAACTCTGGATGATTGATACGGACCAAGCCAATCCGCGTAACCTTATTGATACGCACACGGTATGTCGTAACCCGTGAAATTTTCAAATTTTCTCGGGCACACCACGAAATCATTTTATACTTCGGCTATATTTTCTTATTTTTGTTTTTTGTTTACGTCTCGCACACAGGAGATAGATGAGGTTATGTCATTTGATTTTTCAATATTTATGTTTTTTTTTCTTCCAGTCTGTATTTCAGTGGTTTGATTTTCATATAGAATATTTATCACGATCACAAAATGCAGTAAAAGAGAAAACAAAAAGAATGCAGACATTTTTTTCTTTCTCAACCTCAAGATTGTTGGGTGAAACTCTACGGAATATACACGTCACGTTTCGCACGATCCTAAAAGTTGAGATGATTTGCGAATGCAATATTAGATTTCTTGAATTTGTTGTTTTGTTTCTCTCTCTTTCCTTTTTGCATTCTGACTTTTTCTCTCTTATCAAAGTCAGCATTGCATGTTATGCACTATAATCGTTTTATCAACAAGATTGATCAAGCATCTCAACAAAGCCAATGCATAGATTGATTTCACTTCACAGACACTTTTTCGTTACATTCACATATATTTCTTACAACATTCTTTATCAATACTTCACACTTTAAAAAAAAAAAATCACCAATTTCTAACTAAATCACGTCACATATTCCTTTTCAAATAGAAGGTCAAAATAAACAGAACACCAAAAGTCGATGATTAGCACAGACGAGGACAGCCACTTTGCAAAACGATTATGGAGCAACAAGGACACTTCTGATTGAAAAAAAGACAACAAATAAAGGAACAAGCAAAAACAAGTCTTAGCATCGCACGAGGGGAAAAAAAGAGAGAAAGCGAAAGAGAAAAGGAGTTGGGGAGAAAGTAAGAAAAGAGACGAGAAAAGGAAGAAGGAAACAGGGATAGGAGAAAGTTAAGGAAGGAGAGAGGGAAGAAAATTAAATCGAGGAAGAGACAATATATATATTTGTGATGTACAAGAAATAGAGAGAGAGAGAGAGAGAGAGAGAGAGAGAGAGAGAGAGAGAGAAAGAGAGAGAGAGAGAGAGAGAGAGAGAGAGAGAGAGAGAGAGAGAGAGACAGAGACAGAGAGAGCGAGAGAGAGAGCGAGAGCCGTATCTACCGTATCTGAGCGCGCGCGAGAGTGAGGGAGGGGAGGGAGAGAACCCGTCCTCAGATCGCGTGAAATAAGGGGAGTGGGGAGAGGGGAGACACACACACACACACGCACACGCACTACCGGCGACTGTGAGGGGAGGAAGTCTGTCGAGGAGGAGGGAGGGGAAAGGGGCGGTGCGTGTGTGTGCGTATATGTGGAAGGGGGAAGGACAGTTTGGGTAGGGGGGAGGGAGGGGGTCAGGCAGAGTGGGGAGGGAGGATAACGAAGCTCCGAGAGGGGAGGGAAGAGGATGGAGAGGGAAGGGGGTGGAGAGGGGAGAGCGAGGGATGGCGTAGGGAGAGGAGAGACTGGGTAGAGGGGAGGGAGGAGGAGAGATAGGAGAGGAGAGAGGGGTGAGGGGAGGGGAGGAGAGGAGAGAGGGGTGAGGGGAGGAGAGGAGAGGAGAGAGGGGTGAGGGAAGGAGAGGTGAGGAGAGGGGAGGAGGAGAGGGGAGAGGGGAAATGGAAGGTGGGAGGGGAGTGAGGGGAAAAGGGGGGCCGAGGGGGGTGTTTATGGCGATCAATGCCTTTGCCGCTCTGACTCACGATGGGCGGAGCCAGTCCTGTTGTACGATTTTTTTTTCTCTCTCTCTCTCTTTTACTCCTTTCTCTTGGCTTAACTTCATCTCTTACCGAATGCCACTGAATGAAACTCATCTCAATCGAAAAACCTAATTCATGTCCACCAGTCGCTACTAGAAATAAAGGAAGTTATAGCTAGGTTTTCGCGATACCTTTATCAAGTTGATTCGTCTACTCATGTAAACACGTGCTCCTTTCCCGCCTCCAGTCCACGCATGCGCCTCCACCCCCCCCCCCCTCCTCCTCAAGCTACAAGTTTATGCGGGAAACTCTTCCTTATGAAATCCTTTTCGATTCGAACGTTTTGCGGATACCTGATAAAAAGTATCCGTTGTGTTCCGTCACTTTTCCCTACGACATATTTCAAGAATAAATAGTTGATGTCGCGTCCATACCTCCGCTCACACGAGGAAGAAGAAATGAAAGACGCGAGAGAGATGGATTGCGAACTCAAACTACTACGAGTCACGGACGTAAAATCATTTCTCTTCCATCAGCAGATTTAGATTAACAACGATATCCGTAGGCGATTTACGCAATTTACGTGCCGTGCGATACGAAGTAAATCCTGATAAATGTTACGGATTCTATAGATCAAATTGAAAAAAAAAGAAAGTAAAATAGAAAGAAGAAGAAAAAAAGAGTTTCCGCTCCGGATTCACCGATGTAAACAGATAGCGACCGTATCCCCTAACGTAAACAATGACCCCCAACACTGTACCCTGTGTGTTCTTCAATGGCAACAAAAACACGTGAAATCTGCCAGCTGCCTTTACGTCGCCCCTCCCTCTTCTCTCTCTCTCTCTCTCTCTCTCTCTCTCTCTCTCTCTCTCTCTCTCTCTCTCTCTCTCTCTCTCTCTCTCTCTCTATCTATCTATTTTTTTTCTTTCTCTTTCTTCCTATTTCCTTCTCCTTTAGTCTTCCTGTTTTGAATCCATCTCTTATTCGATTACCTTCTTTACTCCTTCTCTGTCCCCTCTTTACTTCCACTCTTTTTCCGTCTCCTCTCTCCAACTTCCTTTTACTTCCCTTGTCCCTTTTCCCCTTCCCCTCTCCTTCTCCCTCTCTCCCTCTTCCCTTTCCCATTCGTTCCCTCGTTCTCCTCCCCCTTCCCTCTTCCCCTATTCTTCCATTGTTTAGTAGGGGAGACAAGGAAACAGGAGAGACGTACATGGCTAAATCAAGGCAAGGAGGATAAACTGAAAACACGAGGGGGGAGATGAAGGAGGAGAGAGAATAAAGAACAATAATAACAGATTTAGAGGACAATAGATGTGTGGGGATGAGACAGGGGGTGGATAAGGGATGGAACAGAGGGAGAGAGAAGGGGAATAAAGAGGGGAGGATAGAGATTAGGGAGAACCAATAATGACAAGGCGAGGGGCGGTAATGAGGAGGAGGAGGAGGAAGGAAAATTGACTTGTACGGAAAGCAATAAATGCTAAAAAAAAGTTAATAAACAGGGAGTAAGAGAGGATTAATAAACGGAGAAAGGGAGAGGGAAACAGAAACAAGGAGAGAGAGAGAGAGAGAGAGAGAGAGAGAGAGAGAGAGAGAGAGAGAGAGAGAGAGAGAGAGAGAGAGAGAGAGAGAGAGAGAGAGAGAGAATAACTTATATAAACGGGCTAGGCAATTATTTTTTTGTGGGATTTGAAGAAAAAATGTTCTAGTCTGCTCTACTTTGATCGTGTCGTGATAGAGATAAGCTTCACTTTTATTAGTTTGATATTTAAAGTCTCTCTCTCCTCCTCCTCCTTCTCTCTCTCTTTCTCCTCCCTCCCTCCCTCTCTCTCTCTCCTCCTCCTTCCCTATCTCTCCTTTTTTATCTCTCCTCCTCCCTCTTTCCCTCTCCTTCTTTCTCTCTCTCTCTCCCTCCTTTTCTCTCTCCTCCTCCCTCTCTCTCACTCTCTCTCCCCCTCCTCTCTCTCTCTCTCTCTCTCTCTCTCTCTCCGCTTCTTCCATGCCACTCTGCCTCTCACACTACTGTGTTTTTCTCTTTTCTCTTTCTTTCCCTTTATTTCTTTATCTCTTTCAGCCTCATAATTTATCTTTATGTATACGGATGTGTATATTCAAAGATGTATATATCATAGCACTGGCTAAGGGACGAATGGACGGACACAGACACACACACACACGCGCGTGCGCGCGTGTAATGTTCCTAGGCAGCAATAATGATACCGGGAACGACTGTACTGGAGGAAGGGAGAGAGGGAGAGGGAGAGGAAGAGTGGAATGGGAGAAATTACGAGAAAGGAAGTAACGGGTTTGGATAAGGAGAATGAGGAGATGAGGAGGAGGAAGGAGGAGTTAGGGAGACCGAAAGGAGATAGCGATATGGGAGATGGAAACTAAACGAGAGGCTATGGAAGAAAATAGAAAAATGAGAAGAGTTATGGATTACAAAAACGAAAAGGAAAAACGAAGAAAGAAAAGAAAAGTACAACCCATAAAGCATGATAAGGAGGATAAAAAAACAAGAACAAACTAATGGGAAGGAAAAGCACGTTAAGGTAAGGCGAACGTATACGGGAGGAAGTGCAAGGGAGGATAATGGGTGAAGGGGAGAAGGGGAGAGGGCATTAGAGGAGAAGGGAAAGGACGACAGTGGGAGAGGTAGGGAGGGGGAGGAGGGGAAGAAGGAAGGAGGGGGGTGGGGGAGGCAAGGGCATGCGAGCGGGGAAAGGGAAGAGTAGAATACAGGGGAAATGGGGGAGGGGGCGGCGAGCAAAAAGCGAAGGGCTATGTCAAGGGAAAAGGAAACCTATGGGAAACATTTGGGGGAGTAAATTAAGGATTAATAGTCTAGAAAAAAACAGTAATGATGTGGTAGATTTCTTTTTAAAAATCATTTTAGTAGAGAGATTACATAGAAAAGAATCAACAGGTAGATTTGTCATAAATTGGGTATATAAAAATTTAAATCTAATTTACATAAACCTGGCCTTTCGAGCTACTAATCCTGTAAGACACTTTGTATTAAATTCTGGTTTTCTTCCATTTTCTATTAAGGTGAAATTCACTTATATTGGAAGAATTATATATATATATATATATATATATATATATATATATATATATATATATATATATGTATATATATATATATATATATATATGTATATATATATATATATATATATATATATATATATATATATATATACATATATATATATATATATATATATATATATATATATATATATATATATATATATATATACATATATATTCGAACTCGAATATGTAATAAAAATAGCACTACAAGTGCAACATTTACTATTCAAAATCATTTCATCTGGACATAGGCCTAAATATTTCCAATAGAAAAAAGGAAGTTTAAAATCCACAATATCAAGGACACTACCTGAGTGTTTGATATATTTTTTACTGTTATTAAGCCCAATTCAGGAAGAACACCAGCGTTTGGAGGAAGGTTTTAAGCAGAACATTCTTACCCTGAAAAGAAATTCTAAACAAACCCCCTCTCATCCAAAATTTCAGCGCTGATTTCCGATTTCAGATTCTGAATACTTCCTGGATCAGTCAACGAAATGATAAACAAATATATGAAACATCTTCCTGTACTTACATGATCAAAGGAATCAGTCATTCGGCGGGAAATCGGCTGAAAATCGACACAAGGAAACGAGAAGTCCGCCACCAGACCAAACGCAGAATACTACAAAGCACCTTTTTTTTACAGAAATCCATCGTTCGCTTTTCGCATATATATTTTTTTATTATTTCACTTAGTCGAGCTTAGTATTTCTTGTTTATAATTCTTAAATATGGGAGGTTGTTGGTGTAAATGTTTACAATGTACAGATTACGTGTTAAACTAAAAGATAAAATAAATCGATAAAATCTATGATATGAATGTTGCTAGGCGAAGCGGAAAGTAAAATGAAAGTTTAAATGATAAAGATAGAGTCAGCAGAATTTTTTTCAGGAAATTACAGGGATCATAGATTAAAGGGGAAAGTAGACAGAAGGAAGAAAAGAGGAAGAGGAAAAAATCAAGGAAAAAAAAAGAAAAAGTAAAGTCAAGAAGTTTTACATGGAAAAAATACAATTTTTTTTCTCGAGACAAGCAAAATTCAGGGGGGAAAGGAAATATAAGTTAGACGGTGGTAGGAGCAATAAAGGGGAAGATAGAAGAAACCAGAGAATATAAGGAAATTAAAAAGATAAACGGTAATGATAGTTTTTTTCCCCCAAGGAGGCGTAAATACATATTATATTTGAAAAAAAAGTAAAGTTAGGAAATACACAGAAAAAGAAGGACGAAGAAAAAACAAAGTGGCTTAAATCTAGGGGCAATTTTACAAGACATAAAACAGAAAAGCAGGTAAGAAATAAAGCAACTAGAAATATTACAGGAAGAAACTATAAATAAAGTGAAAATACCGACTATCAGACTGAGAGGGAAAAAATGGAGAAAAAAATAAAGCCTAGAGAAATTTGAGAGGAAAAGAGTAAACC